TAGAGGGTCTGGCTGTTGCGTGGGCGCCGGTGGTCGCCGGTGGTCGCCGGTGGTCGCCGCTGGTCGGCTGCGGCGCTGTGTTATTGTGAATTGCAGTAGATCTCGCTCTCTTAAAGGGTCTGGTGGTTGCGTTGTCGCCGGTGGTCGCCGGTGGAGCAATCTGTGGAGCTGGAAGCTGAGAACTGGCAACTTTGTAGTGCAACTTTAGTACGCGGAGTAGCTGTGGAGCTGGAAGCTGAGAACTGGCGAGTTTCTAGTACAACTTTAGTACGCGGAGCAATCTGTGGAGCTGGAAGCTGAGAACTGGCGACTTTGTAGTACAACTTTAGTACGCGGAGTAGCTGTGGAGCTGGAAGCTGAGAACTGGCGAGTTTCTAGTACGACTTTAGTATGCGGAGCAATCTGTGGAGCTGGAAGCTGAGAACTGGCGACTTTGTAGTACAACTTTAGTACGCGGAGTAGCTGGGGAGCTGGAAGATGAGAACTGGCGACTTGGTAGTACAACTTGAGTACGCGGAGTAGCTGGGGAGTGGGAAGATGAGAACTGGCGACTTGGTAGTACAACTTGAGTACGCGGAGTATCTGGGGAGCTGGAAGATGAGCACTGGCGACTTTGTAGTACAACTGTAGTACGCGGAGTAGCTGGGGAGCTGGAAGATGAGAACTGGCGACTTGGTAGTACAACTGTAGTACGCGGAGTAGCTGGGGAGCTGGAAGCTGAGAACTGGCGACTTTGTAGTACAACTTTAGTTCGCGGAGCAATCTGTGGAGCTGGAAGCTGAGAACTGGCGACTTTGTAGTACAACTTTAGTACGCGGAGTAGCTGTGGAGCTGGAAGCTGAGAACTGGCGAGTTTCTAGTACAACTTTAGTACGCGGAGTAGCTGTGGAGCTGGAAGCTGAGAACTGGCGACTTTGTAGTACAACTTTAGTACGCGGAGTAGCTGTGAAGCTGGAAGCTGAGAACTGGCGACTTGGTAGTACAACTTGAGTACGCGGAGTATCTG